ACTTTTTGGATTCTTTGACCCAATTTACTAATCAATTTCCTGATATTAACTAATATTATTCTATTAATCAAATGCAAGTAGAGAGAGTACAAAATTAACGAAAGCTAAAAAATCTAGAGTTTACATAATAGAATACTTAATACTTTATAAAGCTGACGATAGAGTAAATTTTAGCAACAGAAAAAAGAATTTTTTTTATGCAATTAAAATGATTTTGCATATGAATAAATGAAAATGTCTCAGCATTGTATATTTACAATTAAAAGAACATTTTTTTTATTTTTTCGCAAACATAAACATTTTAGTATGATAAAGTGAACATTTTTTTTTTTTGCTGTATAAAAAAAAAAATTCAGCCACACATATCATTTATCAATAAAAATACATCAATGGGGCTTTCTCGACTAGGGTTTTATAAAAGCCTTCATCAAAGTGTCTGATAATCAGATTTTTTTATCATTACGTAATCTTCTTATTATAATACTTACTTAATGTGGATAGTTTATTTATTCTTCATTGTATTTACCGTATATGAAAAATGTTTATGTGGCGCAGTCAAAATCAATTTGATTTCCTTCTCCATACCGACATGTTTTCTCGTCCTTTTCTTTTTTCAAAACTGTTTGGATTCTCATCAAAATATTCTCTAATAAAATGTTCTCCCAATAATTCTTGGTATCTGCAAAAAAAAAAATAAAAATAAAAATAAAAATTAGTTACCGAGTCACATAAAATATGTGTAAAGATAAATCTACTTGCATGTCTGGATTAAGAGCAAACGGAGGTCCTTCTATATGATCACCGATAGGGTAGATTAATGCGATTAATATACCATCAGAAGAGATTAATTCCGAGATTTTAGAAGCCCATTTTTGACGTAATTCTGGTGGAAAGGTACATAAGAACCTAGTAAAAAGGGATTTTTATTACACTTTTCGTCGTTATCATAATTATGAATGAATTGAACGAATGGAATGACATCTTACGTGTAATCATAGACAAATTGATATTTTTCCTTTGGCGGAATGTGATCAAAGAAATCTCCTTGTTGAAATGTTACGTGAGAATCGGGGATTTTAAGTTCTTTTTGTTTCTATAGTATAATAAAAATAAAAAAATTGATAAGGATTTCTCAAATGAGAAACATCTTTTAAGGGAACGTAACTTGATATTAAAGTACCTGTTGAACTCGTTCGATTAAAATTTGACTTAAATCTAATCCTGTAACGTGCCTGCTCTCGCTCGACAGATAAAATACATCATACCCCTAACATGTCAAAGTTAAAATAATTTTATTATTTAAAATTACATAATTAAATTATCAAAAAAGTCAAGTTACATTCCCACATCCCGGTACAAAACCACGTCCATCAGGCAAAGGAAATTTTTTTTCTTCGATTAATTGCCTTAAAGCTGGTGAAATTTCTCCATAATCCCAAGGAGTATGCTATGGTAAAGTTCAAATTAATTTTTTCATAAATTCTTGGGGGGGGGGGGGGGGAACCAATTTAAACATAAATGACTTACTCCTTCCTTATATAATGTGTCCCACCCTTTTTAAGGTTTATGTAACGATTATAAATAAATTATATTCAAAAAAATCAGAAAGGAAAAAAGAAATAAAGGATAAAATACCTGCTGCTCCTTCTTCAGTGAGAATTTCTTTCATCGATTTTACTTTTTGTTCCGATTGCATACTGTTTCAAAGGTTCGATTTCAAATAATCCAAAATGATTTTATGGTTATATATATAAAAAAAAATAATCATGTTTCACGATAAAAAAGATAGCGTTTTAGGAAATACTTTCAATTTCTATAACAAATAATAAACAGCATTTATTTAAATACAGATAAATAAATGACGACATTTTGTCGATTACACAATTGGTGCTTTTAGGTTGAATAATTTACATATATTTAGAAATAGGAATTCATAATACAATGCATAATTCATTCAATAATGACGGGAAAATATGGCGTTTTAAAACCAATGAAATACTAAAAGATCATTTTTCCTTCAATTTTTCTAAAAGATCGTCAAATTTCAACGAAATATCACTTTGCTGCTTCTTTAGAGTAATATGACTCACATATATATTTTCCCGCTCTCCCGAAGGATCCGAATCCACGGAATTATTAATATTGACCTCCAAAGAACACTGATCATAATCAAATTTATCGTTTTCAGGTCCTCCATAATGATTCTGATTAAAGAATGTGATTGATACTAACGAATGATCAAATTCATTAGCAATTCTATAAAAATGATCAAATTCTACGGGATCGAATAATTTTGTCACCACTTCCTTAATTTCGGACCTAGCATGTTCCATTCCCGGTACATCGTGCTCGTCAGCGACGTACAAGAATTCTAATCTTTTCAGGCCTCTTAACTCTTGAAGCCTTGCCAACATCAACTTACCTCGACTGTACCTTCCCGAAATAGTAAGGCTTTCGATTTTATTGCAATGTACCACTAATGTGTTCATGATATTTTCAGAAGCGTCATCAATTTCTAATTCGGTTAAATTTTCTCCTGCCTTCTTCAAGATTAACGCGGTAATTTCAGGTCTAAATCTATTCAAAGACAGTTCCAATTTCTTTAGGTTCCGAAATTTCGTATCAGGGTCAATAAATTGCGGAGTTAATCCATTACAGTAACTCATGCCTAAAGATTCCAAACAAGAGCACCTTTCAAAATATTGAAATGCCATTTGCCCAAAATCTACATTGTCAATATTCAAGTATATCAACGAATTTACTTGGGATTTCAAAGCTGGTAAAATTATTCTTTTGGCATTTAATTGGGAATTTTCTTCACCTATCAAATTAAATCCCTTCAGATGTTTTTGAGAAATCACAAAGGAAATTATTTCATCAGTAGTTCTCTCAATCAAGTAATTACCGCTAGTATGAAGGTTGTCATCAATCCTTTCGGTCTCATCGACCAAAAAGAATACCTCTTCAAGACTTTTGAGGACATTTTGAAGTCCACGAAGAAAATTTTTAATACTAAGTACATAACTATCATTGGTCGTTGGAGGAAAAGATAATAAAAGACTTTTTAAGTTTGAAATCTTTGATGTTTCACCCTCAAATATAATCGAAAAGTTACCAACTTCAAAATCAATTGCTATTGATTCAATGCAAATACTTTGTTTTGCAAACATTTTGAATAATTTTAGTTCGATGCTTTGAGTAAATTGAACTTTACTGTCGTGACCGCCAAATACGTGATCAAACCAATGGTATACAGCTTTATTCAAGGATTTAAAAGAAATCTCTTTCAAATATCTTTCATATTCATAGAGAGGTGGTTTAAGCTTAAAAGCATTAATCATTTGCTTAATCATGGTAATTTCATCCTCATTTAGCCATTCACGGAAATGTTCATATAAGCAGGAGATGTAAGTTGTTATAAGCGAATTGGATTTCGGTACTTTTGAATTTTGAAAGGGTTTCTTCCATAGAAAAGTTGTTGTAAGTCGAAGCCAACATTTATTTATAAATAGATAAGCATATAATGAAATATCTTCGTCTTTTAAAAAGGTTAATATTTCGCGAACAATGAGCTCGTTTGTAAAAAGGGTAGATGTTTTCATCATTTTATTTTATTTATTTATTTCTAATAAAAAACAAGTGATTCAAAGGTAGGATGGGATTCATGAATTCACAAATAATTCAAAGGGAAAGGGATATGGGAAAAGTTTGAAAGACGGCCCTTTTTAAGATAAAATCCTAAAAAGGATAAATTTCCGACAATTCACCTTTCAAAATGTTTTTTTATATTATATTACAGTAGAAGAGATCATGAAAAAAAAATTTGATAACCGGTAGATAATCCGTTCTGCCATTGTTAAAACTCTAAAATGATTTCTGGGTGCATATGATTTCCATTTCACGGAGTTTGAATAGCGGTTTCAGAATGAATCCCAATAAGTACTTGGATACAATAATTCCCATTGTACTTTTTAAGAACGCGTTTCGTTATGAAATCGTTTTTATAAGGCCAAAAATAAAATAAAATCAAATAAAAAAAAAATTTTTTTCGTAAAGTATATATACATGTTTAGGTAACCTTACTTTTCTGTTTTAATGTGTATATAAAGCACGTCCCAACCAATTACGTAAAATCATACGAACTTTTTTTTTTTTAGATGAAAACAGGTTTTATAATAGAATAAAGAAATCTTTATCATCGAGATTACTTTCAGCTAAAAATGGGAACGATGTATTCACTAAAATATAACCTCAATGAAATCTGTTACACCGAATAAAGTTTCGTTCCAAATCCAAACAATTGAAAAAATTTTTTCTTTTGTAAAATCGTGAATCTCGATGTTGCCTTTCGAAACACAAGATTATTTTGAAATTTTAGGAAAATGTTCAAAGGGTTCGAAGGGTAGAGTGAAATTTAATTCTGCCATTATAATTTGATAAAGTTTTTAAGTTCTGAACAAATTTTTTAAATGAGACCGTTTATATATATGAATCGGTTCGAATTTATAAGGCCATGGACCGTGAAACAGAAAATAGATTTTAAGGAAACAGTTTCTTTAATAGTTCGCATATATCAATACAACAAGTAAAATGAAATCTTTTTATGATAAAAGAATGGTTTTCCTTTCACAACAAATATTTAATGAGAACGGACACCACAAAAAAAAATCAAATTTAGAAAGGTTATAACCTAATAAATATCGATTGTGGAAATTTTAACTTAACCAAATATGGTTTATTTGAAATTTTTATTTGTAAGCCGTGGGCGCACATTTCTGTACAAAGTTAATGACGCAAAAATTTACAAAGGGTAAATTTCACTTTAAAAAAAAAAAAAAAAATATCAAAAAATTATCAGTGTTCATATAAATATATATATATTTTTGTGTCTAATAATGTCTAATAATATACAAGGGACTTTGAAAAAAAAATTTATAGAATAAATAAATATTATCATTTATCTGATGTTAAACTTGATCCTTCTTTTCTCTAGATTCGCATCAACTCATCGAATCACTGCTAGCACCCATTGAATCCGAAACAACCGAAGAAAGACAACAATGATTGACGACATCATCATGTTCAAAACTATTTTCCACACCAACCTTTACCTTGTACATTTGTTGTAATCCACCCCAACCAAATTCTTCAACTTTTTTACATTCCCAAGTACAACCTTGGACGGTAGTGGTCATGTATCTACCAATTTCTTCCCCAAACCTGTCCAACATGGCGTAACCTAACAAGGCAAATTCATCAAAACCTTTTTGTAATCGAGTTTTAATGATACTATTTACGCTTGGGTAGATATTAAAATCCGATATACGTTCATTATGATGAAAAGTTATCTCGAAACGAATTTGAAATTGTCGTTTAAAGAAGAATTCTTTTTTAAATTGTGATGAGATGGTCAACAACGTATCATTTAACGTCGATGTAAATGAATCGATTTCCGCTGCAATCATTTTGTGACGAAGCGAGAGTTGTGAGGGGGATAAGGTTGTGGCTGAAAACGATGAAGGTGGATATGTGGGAATCTTAAAATATTCCAATTCATCTTCCAATTCTTGAGCTGTAATTGGAACCAATCCGATTGCTGATAAAGGAAGAACCTAATAAGTAAGTAAAACAAATTTCGTTCAAATAATATTTTTTTACCTATTACATACCTTGTTCTGTCGTTGGAACCTTTCCTGTTCGATAAAATTGCATGATGTAATGAAATAAATGACCGTCTCGATCGATAAAGAATTCATTTCCATGATTCGGGTCAGTTAATGGATTTTCTTCATCACTGTAATGATAAAATATTGATCCTAGCAAAGTCGTTGGATAGGAAGTTAATGTTGACCTGTATGTTTCATACTAGAACATCCGGGTAAGCGAGGGAGGTGGAGAGAAAAAAGAGAGCATTTAAATCTAATATTCCCATTGAAGCTTCAAAAGGATGAATTTGATTTTAAATAATTATGTACCTTAATACCTCCTACATTGAGAGTGATTTTATCTCTGGAGGCAAGATTTTCGGCATTATTATCAGTGTCATTATGATTAGAAATATCGTCAGCTGCTCCGTTTGTTGGCATTGTGTGCTTTTTATTATTTTCTAGAAGAAAGGGAGATGGATAGTGCTTAATATAGCAAACTGATGATTTTATGTGCCTAAGGTTGCACAAAATAATTTACTATTACAAGGGATTGGCACCTTTTTGACAGGACAATAAGCTATTTACGCCCACGGTTCACAAAAAAAAAAACTGCGTGCGGGGTTTGTTTAGGGAATAACCTGATTTTTTTTGATGTCAAATATTTTTAAAGTTGAAATTTTCATTTGATCACAACAACAAAGAAAGCAAATGCATCATATGACCCAATCAAGTACAGCATTTGCATTCGCATTTTTTTTTTTTTTTTTTTTCTTTCTTTCTTTCTTTCTTTCTTTCTTTTATTTTAGTATATAATTTTTAAAGATTAATAGATGCACACATCCGGTAAATCTATGCATTTCTGCTTTTTTTTATTTACTTAAAAAAAATTTTTTTTCTTATATCATATGATTATAATTTACAAATTGTCGAAATATGATTAGTTTAATTGCTTATATAATGCGTGTTATTTATGTTTTATCTTAAAAGAAACGAGTTCAAGTGTTTAGCAGTTGATTCGCATGATTCGCAGTGCATTATGTATAATTTTAAATCTCTTCATATTATTCCTTATGATGCAGCCTTGATGCGAAAAAAAAATACGCGTGTCGGAACCAATAAAATTTCACGTTTTTACGAGCGTGCCGATTTTTCTTGTCTTTTTTTAGTAACAATATTTTAATGAAGTCGTTGATAGACAACAATTCTTAATTATTTCTTCATAATCAAATTCATCGCATATTTGTATTCGTACACGATACATCGAATCTATTGAACCATCCGAATCACTACAGATTTTGAGCAATAATAAATCCCAGCATAATCCAGGATAACTTTCTTCTAAATGTTCACCAATCTTATCGCCAAAACCGTTTAATAATGCATACGCTCGTGTGCCAAATGCAGGTTGATTTATTACCTCGGCTATTTGAGGCACGGGGGATTTTCCTATGGTCGTTGGCAAAACGGTAATGACTGGTTGCATCCGATCCGACGTATAAAATGCCATTTCAAGCGTCACGTTAAACCCGAGTCCTTTTGACATTATAAATCTTTTTTGAAAATATAATATCGCTCGATTAATCGCTGTCTTTAACGCTGTAATGAAATCATCCAGTTCGGCCGCTACGGTTCGACTTCTTAGTGATAATTTTGTAACCTGCGATTTGGGTTGTGGTTGCGTTTTCGATAATAATCGTTTTGGCCGCGGTATCATGAAATAATCCAATTCCGCGTCGAGTTCCTTTTGCGTTATTGGTATGGCGCACTTTGCTAAAGTTTTTTGGTTGTTCAGATGAGCAAAATTTAATTAGAAACGATTACGCGAGGATTATAAGTGAGCTCAAAGCGCGTAATGCTCACCTTTATCTGCGGATGGTATCTTTCCCGTTCGATAAAATTGTAATATGCAATAAAATAATCGTCCGTTACGGTCAATATAATATTCGTTACCGTTCGTTGGATGTAGGAGTTCTTTATTTCGTTCTTCAAACATCGTACCGAGCATTGTTTCCGGATATGCGGTTAGTGTTGAGCGATATGTTTCGTACTAAAGAGGATTGAAGAAAAAGAAAACGAAGGATGTCTAAATTGCTGTGCCACACGTTGTATTTGATATCGAATAAGCAAGCGCACACGAATAACACTCACTTTAATACCACCGACATTTAGTATTATTCGTTCTTTGGACTTGTATTTCAAGTTCGACATTTTTTTATGATTATTACTATTAAAAACAAGTTTTTACTTCTAATTTTTTTATTCTTTATTATCTTGTATACAAATAATTTTTGTAATATTTTTTTTTAAAAAAAAATTTTTTTTTCGTGATAATTCTCTTATCAAAAAAATTTTTGTGTCAGAGATGTTCAAAGCTACATGGTATTTAAATATTCATTCATTTGATTTTAAAAAGTGATCTAGCCTAAATTTAAAAAAATGAATAAATTCAAACAATTAAAATAAAGGGCGCCCAATCCAGGAATTTTAATTTTATGTACCGCTTGAGTGAGACAATCAAAAAATATTATAAAAATATTTTTTTTTTTTTTTTTTTTTTTTCGATTAATCAATTTTTTTTTTTTTATGATCCAAAGTAGTTTTTTAGTGTACGAAGATCAACAAAATCTATTATTCATCACATACAGGGTTGAAAAGATTTTGAAACGAATATATATTAATTTGTTCATGCATAACTTTGCAGCCGATATTTGTGTCCCCCTATTTTTTTTTTTTTTTTTTTTCGCCCCTCAACTTTACAGTACAAATCTCCCTTTCTTCTCGGCAATCGTCTCAGTTTATATGCATTATGATGTGTCCGCAGTCGTTCTTTCGTGGTAGATTAACGTCTGTGTGGCTTCCAACTTTTTTCTTATTGTCAAAGATAGATGAAACTTTATCAATACAATTACACACGTAAGGTCATTTGACCATTAATTTATTTAAAATTTTTTTTTTTTTTTTATTCGTACACAATTTAATTATAGGGTTTTACTGGTAAAAGGTTGGTTTTTTTAATTTACGATAACGTAATTTCATGTAACATCTTGTCGTCTATAAATATGGGTTCTAATTGATCGGGTTTTCTTTTAGAAAAAAAAACTGTTCCTTTTAGGTTTTCCCAATTGGAAAAAATGAGCTAGCTGATTATGTGCGATAATGTAAAAACCTTTTTCATATAAAATATATATATATATATATATTTAAAGATTTATATATTTTTTTGCAGTTGGACAAGTTTGTCGTTTTTGCCGCGTTCAATCCGAAAGCGGAAACGATCAAAGTTTTTATCCCGTGGGACAATATTTCAGCCTTACGCAAGGATGTTCTATTTGTTCGTTTCTTTTAGGCCGAAAAGAGTGGTAAACATATATATTTTTATTTTTAATGTCAAATAAAATGAAAAAAAAAAAATCAGATGCAAGGAGGTTAGTTTCAGAGTATATTGTACGTTTTAAGGTTTAGCGGACGGGCGGAAGGGTGACATCACATCATAGTTTATTTTTAAAAAAGGTGTCTTCTATGAGACCATATTTGTTACCATTGTTACCTGCTGCGGTTTTCATGCACGTAATGTAGATACAAAGATTTTTTAAATAAATAGGTTATTTTTCTTTCATCTTTCATCAAATTCTTTTCGGTAAATGCAAAACAATCAAAAAGAAAAGACATGCCCTTTTCGGATATCTTTCAATGTAGTTTAACTAGAGCATTTTTTGTGTTATGCGTTGCATTTCCTTGTCAAATATGAAAGACATGTTCATAGATTTCTGCACGAAAGTCGAAAATATTATATAAATACATGTAATTGAGCATGATTCAGGTGCGAATCAAAGAGAAGAAGAGCAAGAAGAACATTTGAAAATAACGATTGAAAAAAAGTGATGCCTTGATATTTTCACGTCAAAATTGTTTATTTCCATGGAATTAATTCGAGTATATTCGGTTTATTTCAAAGTGAAAAATCAATTGATATTGAAACTGTGACATGCGTATTCACTGCATTGTAAATTTTTATATTTTCGGTAAATTAAAATATGAATTTACCTATTCCTTGCTAATTATGAAAATTTTTTTTATAAAGCCACCATCAAGTGGTTACACGTGCAGTCAAATGACCTCACTTGAATTCACATTACACACGAAAGAAATTTTTGTAAGAACGCGTGACGTTTACAGCATAGTGTTGTTTGTTTCACACCAGACACTGCACGGCATTGCATGAACAAATGATTGCAACACAAAAGTCACCGAGAAAAGTATGCCTAAATTTTCGTGATTAATTGATTAACCATTTCTTTTTCCTCATTGGTTTCAACCACCAACACTCGAGACTTCCCTTCTGTTCCGTTGGAAATATCCACCACATCATCTCCTTTCTTAAAGGACCCTTCAACTTTTTCATTTTTCTCTTTATCAACTTTGGGAAATCCTAAGCACTCAACCTTTTCCGTGACCGATTCACGTAATTCTTTACTATTTTCACCGATTCCACCAGTGAATACCAATGCGCTGATATTCCCTTCTAATTCAACAAAGTAACTTCCAATATAATTCACGATGCGATTGACAAAGATATCAAATGTTAATTTTGCGCGTTCATGATTTTCGTTCCCCTCATGAATCGATTTTGTGATATCCCCGAAATTTGAAAGGCCACAAAGTCCTTTAAATCCCGAATCATGGTTTAAAATAGATTCCGCTTCCGTTAGATGAAATTGCTTTTCTACTGAATGATGCGATTCTTCACATTTACGCGCTTTTGACGAAAGATGGAATATGGCAGAGGGATCGATCGAACCAGACCTCGTAGCTCCCGGTAATCCTATCATGTTTTTTTTTTATTTTAATAAATAGATGAAAAAAAAAAAAAAAAAAATTTTTTCGTACGAAAATTTACCTTCTAAAGGGGTTAATCCCATAGTTGTGTTAACACTTTTACCACCTTTGACGGCACAAACGCTAGCACCACTTCCCAAATGTAAACTGATAAATTTTGTATCATCATCATTCCAATCAATTCCCAAATAATTCGCGGCAATCTTAGTCACATAAGAATGACTTATACCATGAAAGCCATATTTTCTAATTCTCTTCTGCTTGGCTTCCTCAAAAGGCAAGGCGTAAGTGTAAACATGAGGTGGTATGGATTGATGAAATAACGTATCAAAGAAAACATAATTCGTTGAATTCGGCAATTCCTTTAAACAAGATTTAATTATTAACACGCTGGCATGATTATGCAATGGTGCCAATTCTGATAATGAATCAAGCTCGGAGAGAGCCCGAGTTGGTGATGGATCAGATCTCAAGATGAATGCTTGAGTTTCCGCCGCACCGTGAACCACCCTATGAACGATATATTTTATTTGATCTTTTGATTTTAAAATAGTGTCAAGTAGGTATGATATGATATGAGAAAATGCTTCCTCGTGAGTGATCGTTTGTAAAGTTTTTGTCGTTTTGGTGTCGGATGAAATGATTTTTGCAGAAAATGGTGATATCTCCGAGGTGATTTCTGAGATGGATCCTTTTGATACCAGATTGATTGCTTCTTCTTTGGACTCATCATGAAGAAATAATTTAAATTTTAAGCTTGAACTTCCCGCGTTAATCGCTAATATATTTGTCATTTTTTTTTTTTTTTTTTTTTTTTCGTCCGGGAGAAATCGAAATAAAAAAAATTTCCCCTTTTTTAAAAAAGTCTTTAAAATGATAAAATCATCATCATATTGACATCAAACTTACGAAATTAAAATTTCCAAGTAGATCACTTTTGTTTAATTTAGAAAATGTATTAAATTAAAATCATTTAATATACGACCTAAAATTTTATCCGAGCTAACCACATTAAAATTACGTCACCGGTCGTATTTAAAAATCGAAGGTTCGAGACAGCAAATCACGTGTTTTATAATAAATAAAAGAAATAGATTATAATGACAAAAAAAGAAAAACAATCATGTTCTTTTTTAAATTACCTTTTTAAATCTTATTCATGTCGTTACTAAACTTAAAATTTATTTATATTAAGGTCAACGCGCTTGTTCGATAATCCTAAGTTTTTACCCACATGTATCACAACTTGTCAAAGGAAAAAAACACTGAAAAAGTAACAACGAAAAAGTGTTTATACATATGATTTTCAAATATTTCTTTCTCACCCCTTATTCGTGATGTAAATGATTATTTTATTTGTTTAGTACATTTAATTGCATGAGAGATATTATTACTAATATATCCATTTATAAGTTAGTCATAATGATGGAAGCAGGATTTGTTCGTACATCGAATGAGATATCGCTTGTTCGTGCATCGCCATGGGTCAAGTATTGTATTGAATGAGCGGATTGATTCATTTCGTTTATAGGTTCAGGATTATGTCGATTCAATGACTGCAACGACTGTTGTACCTGATGTTGATACATTTCAACACGTTGAGGAATTTCTTGCGATGTTCCTTGATGAATCAGATGAGAACCGCGTTCAGTCATTTCATGAGAAGTGAATCGTGCATAAATTATTGATTCAGAGTATTCTACTTGTGTTTGTTGATGTTGATCCTCATCTTGTAACCATGTATGATCAATTTTATCATTATCCGGCACAACATTACTCATCTTGGAAGGTTCAAATGGTTGACAAAGGAGCATATTATTCGTATCAGGTTTTTCTTGTTTTTGAATAACAGGATTTTCATCAACAGATATCGTGTTCGATTCCGGTCTCTGATTGGTGCCAGTAGGATCAAATGGTTGGCACAAAAGTAAATCCTGCTTGACAACTTGGTGCTGTTCTTGTTGTTCTTGTGTAGTATGAAAATCTTGTGTAAAGTATGAACCATGTGTATCTTGATCAACTATGTTCACTTTGATAGGAATCATGGTTGGAAGTGAAAAACTTGTATTTATATTGTCATCTGTATATAGATGAGTTCCATTCATATCTGAATGATAGCCATATGTTTGAGAGTTATCAGGAGGCATATCCAACAAAGCCTCCATCGAACCTTGTTGTTGTTGTCCGTATGAATTGTAATCGTTATAAGGTACACAAGTTGAATTAGTTGTGTTCGCTTGAAGTTGATACAATCCATCTGTTGTATTATTACTTGAACCGATCTCGGGCAAGTTATTATCAGGAATTAATTGCGTGTTCAAACTGTTTTGCTGTATGTTATCTTGAACCGAGGAAGAATAAATTTCGCTCGCTTGTGCCGTGTCTCGTGTTAGCCCTACATTATTCAACTTTTGATATTTTTTATTAAAAAAAAAAGGTTATGAATACATCTTTTGATATATATATTTTTTTATTATTAGTATTAAATATCTATACTTGGTACTTACGGCTTGATAAGCCTTCGTATCTTCTTGCCACTGCGCGAGAGCTTGTGTCACGAGATCATAGTACGGCTGTAAAACCAAAATAAGTTATTTTTGGCGGGTAAAATAATTTTAGTTTCTCATATCGTATATACCTTCTTTTCTGTTTCGGATAATTTTCTCCACGCTTCACCAAGCATTATTGTGATTTCTTTTGGACTCATCTTAGGATTCTGTTGCTTCAATTCTGCCCTATTAAGGGCAATAATATATATATATATATAAATATCAAAAAAAAAAAAAAAAAAAAAAAACAAAAGCAGGTCATTGTATTACTAGCCAAAATTAGAGATGTAGGAATATATTTGGAAATTCGGATCTACCTTTTTGCAAAGGTAAATTGTAAATACGCATTCGGAGGTCTCTTTGGTGCGTTTGGATCTTTAGCTTTTCTGGTTCGTTTTGGTTTGCTTTCACCCTCATTATCATTCGCATCGCTCTGTGAAGTATCATTATTTTTGCTATTTTTGCTCTTTCGTTTTCTCTTAGGTTTAACATTTGGTTTTGGTGCGGATGTAACCGTTGATCCCTCCGGCGCTGGAATTACCATATTTGGGTTTTTTTCATCCAAATTTGATGCCTTGCTTGGTTTCTTGTTCTTTGGAGTTGTGTTATTGTTATTTGTTTTTTTTTTACGTGGCGTAATTACCTTTTTTACTTCTTGTCCATCAGATATCTTTTGATTCTTTTGAACCTTTTGAGTGGACACACTAACGACTGTTGGTGGAGTTGTACTTGATGTGTTATCGTTTGTATGTGATGGTGTTAAAGGAGGTTCCTTTGAAATGTCATCAATATTAGAAGACGTGTTTTTCACATTCGGGATGACTTGTGCTTTGATAACCGGTTTGAAACGACCCATATTTTGTTCTTTACTCTTTGCTAACTCTTGCTAAATAAAATGAGACTTTTGACTGTAAACAATCAACAGTTTTATGAACGAGTGTAACTGACAAATTGAAGCACATGATTTTTATATAAGCTTATAAATGTTTGTTTATATTTCTTTTCATGCATTCGGACATAGGATACGTAATGCCATCATCGGATTATATTGTAAATGGCAAAGATCGCGTGTTTTTCGGTTCTTAAAAAAAAATATTTCATTATTTAGGTACTTGAAGTTAAATAGTTTAATACTAAAATTTTTGAAAGTTGAGTCCATGATTCGTCATTTAATTCTCGTGTCACCTGGTTAATCCATAAAGATGTGATTTAGTGTTTTTATAGTAAAAGACAATGATCATTAAAAGCTTTGCCAGGGTTGGCTTTTTTTAAAGTTTCAGTCATCGTGACAGATAATTGAGATAATCTATTTTATGTAAATCGATGTTGTACGAACATTAAAACACATGATCATATCTTAAAAAAATAATATAAGATCAATCTAGTAGTTTAATAATCTATTTGTATGATCTAAAAAAAAAAAAATTTTTTCTAGTGAAGTTTCTTCAATAATGTCACATGATGATGTTTTATTAATGACAGAAAGATTAGAACGTTGGAAACAACGTTTACAAAATTTGACCGAGATCCAATTGCCTACAGATTATCCTAGACCTTTGCCACCAAAAGTTGTAGAGGCAACCAAGATATTACATTTGCCCGAAATCACGGCATTAGCCGTTTTGCAACTATCGCTTGGTATTTCTCCAACAAATGGGTCAAATCCTTCTCCATTTTCAATTCTGTTGGCTGCCTTCACCATATTGTTATATCGGTATACTGGTGATGAGGATATCACCGTTGGATCTTCTTCGGATTCAAGAAATCCTCTCGTTTTAAGAATACGTATTGGCCATACAGATACTTTTGAACAAGTGCTCCAAAAAGTTCAACAAGTAAGCGAAAATTTGAGTATCAAGTTCATTTATCTTCTTTTGTAACATAATAACGTTTTATTACATATCTATCAAGGTTGAACAAGAGGCCACTTCTGATGAAGTCCCGTTTCACTTATTATTATCAAAATTATTTCCTCCTAAAGACAAAAGGAGCAATGCAGTATCCAAGTCAACCAATGGTGTAGGTCAAGAATCACCTTCGATACCATCGCATTCACCATTATTTCGCGTTCGTTTCTTTAATCAGACGGATATCCCGGAAAATCCGTTATTACAAGTCACGTCATCTACAACAGACTTGACGGTTTCAATCACCTCACACTCCTCTTCTTCGTTACGTCAAGCACTTTTACCTTCAATCGAAATCAGAATTTCATATAATCAGATTTTATTTTCTGAAAAGCGTATTTCCCATGTATTAGATCAATTAATTACCGTTATTAATAATGTACATAAAAATAAAGAATTACGTGTAGCCGAGATCCCTATACTGACTAAAAAGTGTCTCGATATTCTCCCCGATCCGCGTGCGGATTTGGATTGGTCCGGATTTCATGGTGCGATTACGGATATTTTCTCTGATAATGCAAAAAAATTTCCCGACAAGTCTTGTGTGGTGGAATCTCGTGATGGTAGTAATAAGAGACGCGTATTTACCTATCGTCACATCAATGAGGCTTCTAACCTTGTCGCACATCATTTAATTCAAAATGGAATTGAAAGGGAGGATGTGGTTATGGTTTACGCGTACCGTGGTGTGGATCTAGTAGTTGCGGTGATGGGCGTTCTTAAGGCCGGTGCTACTTTTAGTGTAATTGGTTGGTTTATTCAATTGATTTATTTTAAAATTTTTAAAAAGCTACCCTGAAAAATGAAATAATATTTCCAATCATCTTTACGCAGATCCCGCTTATCCACCGGATCGTCAAAACATTTACCTATCGGTTGCTATACCGCGTGGAATTATCCTGCTTAAACATACAGGGACTTTACATTCATCTGTTCGTAAATATATTCAAGAAAATCTTCAGATCAAATGCGAAATTCCTGCTTTAGAAATTTTAGACGATGGATTTTTGAAGGGGGGTGACATTAACGGTGGTGGCGATGCGTTAGATTCGGTTCGAGATCGTGCCGCAATAGATGCTGGTGTAGTCATTGGACCGGATAGTATTGGAACTTTAAGTTTTACAAGCGGGAGTACCGGAACACCGAAAGGTAACAGAACAAAAAATTATACATTTCCCTTTAAGCCCTTTAAATGTCTCATCATTATAGTTTAATAATGCGTTCCTTTTGTCACAGGGGTTAGAGGGCGTCATTTCTCACTAACACATTATTATCCATGGATGTCCCAAGAGTTTGATCTTTCTGATAAAGAAAAGTTTACGATGTTGAGTGGAATTGCTCATGATCCAATTCAGCGTGATAGTGAGTTTTGAAGTTCTATCCGATGTATTTATTAATTGAAGGTTGATAATTAAAATGAGTTTCCTTATCATCTTAGTCTTCACCCCATTATTTCTCGGTGCCGAATTACATGTTCCGACCAGTGAAGATATTGGCATTCCCGGAAGATTGGCCACTTGGATGGCTGAACATGAAGTCACGGTAACTCATCTAACGCCCGGTAAAACTTTCATTTGATTTTCTCATGACAATTTGTTGCGGGTTTAATCCTAATTAATAATGATTCGTATTATCTATTAAATGGTAGCCATGGGTCAATTGTTATCTGCTAATGCTAGCACTCCGATACCTTCGCTTCGAAATGCTTTCTTTGTTGGGGATATTCTAACAAAACGTGATTGTAACCGTCTCCAGCATCTTGCACCCAATACCCAAATTATAAATATGTATGGAACGACAGAAACGCAGAGATCTGTTTCTTATTTTGTTATTCCATCACTTTCTTCCGCGCCTGCGTTCTTATCATCACAGAAGGACGTCATACCCGCTGGAAAAGGCATGAAGAACGTTCAATTGCTCGTTGTTAACAGGCAAAAGAAAGATTCTTTATGTGGTATTGGTGAGATTGGTGAGATTTATGTTAGAGCTGGTGGATTGGCCGAAGGTTACCTAAGGCTAGAGGATGTAACGAAGGAAAAGTTTCTTATAAATTGGTTTAGCGATAACATCCAATACACAGATGAGAATGAAGGGGATGAGAAATGGCGTCAATTTTGGAAAGGCAAGAGAGATAGGTTGTACAGGACTGGTGATCTGGGAAGATATAGGCCAGACGGGAATGGTATAATAAACATTTTATTTTTCAATATACATGATTCACGTGATTCATGGTCTTGAAAAATTAATTACCCCATTTTTTTAAAAAAAAATTCCTAGTTGAGTGTACTGGAAGAGCCGATGATCAAATTAAGATTCGAGGATTTAGAATTGAACTTGGTGAAATAGATACACACCTTTCACAACATCCACTTGTGAGAGAAAATGTTACCCTAGTCCGTAGAGATAAATATGAGGAGCAAACTCTTGTCAGTTATTTTGTACCTATGGAAGGAGACGAATTGTCAGAGTTTGTGAGTTCTGCTGAAGAAGATTATGAAACGGGAATTACAGTTGGAAAGCGCAAATATCGCAGACTTATTAAACAAATAAGGGAATATTTGAAAATGAAATTACCAAGTTATAGCATACCAAGTGGTAAGTTGCAAATAATTTATTAAGGATGAATTCTTTTCATAAATACATAAATAATTAATCAATTTATTTTCAGTGTTCGTTCCCCTTAGAAAGATGCCCTTGACACCAAATGGAAAAATAGATAAGCCTGCATTACCTTTCCCCGATACTGCCGAATTTGCATCACAGTCGGCTACTGGGGCTAATAAAAAAGAGCAAATGACGGTCTCCGAACAGCAAGTTTATGAAATTTGGGCTCGACTTCTTCCAAATCTGCCTAAACCTATACCGTTGGATGAAAGTTTCTTTGACCTTGGTGGACATTCAATTTTAGCAACAAGATTAATTTTTGAATTAAGGAAAACTTGTGGTGTTAACGTACCTCTTGGAATTGTCTTTGAAAAACCAACTATTCGTGGACAAGCAAAAGAAGTTGAAACTATGTTAAGTGGAGAATATAACTTGGCTAGTGAAATGACTGACCTGCTGGAAAATAATGTTGTTGCAAATAAAAATAAGACCAAAGGTTCGAAGGAAAATAAAGCAGAATTTGATTACGCTAGTGATTATGAGTCATTGTTAACCGAACACATACAAGAAAGTTATGAGCCAATTATAGAGAATTATCCCAGGAAGAACTTCTTCGTTACCGGCGTTACTGGATTCCTTGGAGCCTTTATTGTTTCATCTCTACTGGACTTTAGTAACGACATTAAACTTATTGTTCACGTTAGAGCTAAAACAAAAGCTCTTGCAATGGAAAGAATTAAGAAAAGTTGTATGTCACATCTAGTATGGAGAGGCGAGTGGGAAACTCGAGGAAGGTTGGAAGTGGTCTGTGGTGATTTGGAGGAAGACAGGTTAGGTATTAGTGAAGAAGAGTGGAAATCACTCGCAGAACGTGTGGATGTCGTGATTCATAACGGAGCCTTGGTGAGGATTTATATACGAGCATTTGCATTAAAGTACTTTTCTTTCTTTTAATTTGGCTCACAAATCTTATCTATGCCATTATAGGTACATTGGGTTTATCCTTATTTAAAACTTAGGGCAGCAAATGTGCTTGGAACTATTTGGGCACTTAAACTTGCCTCAGCACATCATACCAAACCTTTTAACTTTGTTAGTTCAACTTCAGTTCTTGATACAGAACATTATGTAAATTTAAGTGATTCTATTATTGGAGGTGGTGGAAAAGGAATTTATGAGGATGATGACTTGGAGGGTAGTAGGACAGGATTAAAGAGCGGATATGGACAAAGCAAGTGGGTATCAGAAAAATTAATTATGGAAGCAAATAAGAGAGGAATGCCGGCCACGATAATAAGACCTGGATATATAGTTGGACATTCTACAACTGGGGGTATGGTTATTTATTGATTGTTATTTTATTTTATGCATAGCGTTCAATAATGTAATTACTATTCTTTTTCCCTTGTAGTTACAAATACTGATGATTTTATTTGGAGGTTAATCAAAGGATGCATTCAGCTAGGTGTAGTACCTACGATTTATAACACCATCAACATGTGTCCTGTTAACTACGTTGCCGAATGCGTTACACGCGTATCCTTATCACCTATTGCAGCGTCTAAGTGTGTTTTCCATATCACGCATCCCTCAAGTCCATCATTTAGACTTGATGAGTTATTTTCTTGCTTGCCTCGTTATGGATATACAGTAGATATAGCCGAATATATTGTATGGAGGAACAAATTAATGGAATTTACATTACAAGCAGGAGATAATGCATTATACCCGTTACTCCATTTTGTCCTTGATGATTTACCGACATCTACAAAGTCACCTGAATTAGATAATACTAATACGCGAGAAATTGTTGGCAAAGAATGTGAGAGAATGGGAGAGAGATTAATAGGAATTTACTTGGGTTATTTAGTTAAAGTAGGATTTTTGGATAAGCCTGATATAAGAGAAAATCATCAAGGTTATAATAGAATTTTAGAATTACCAGACGTTTTTGTAGCTTTAGAAGGAGTTGAAGTTTTAAGAAGAAGTAATAGAAGTTAAGAAGTATTGATTTATTTACTACAACTAAAGGTTGAGTTGATGATTAATTTATTTTCGTAATAATTTGTTTCTGGATTAATTTATTAAAATCATATTGCGACACGTCAGTCATGTGATATTTCTGCTATTGTTCGGATTTGTCATTATTATTTATCAATTTAAAAGTATGTAGCATAAATAATCTTTAAGAAAGAAACAAAAAATTTTTTTTTTGTTTTGATAATTTCTAAAATTAAATAAAAACAACTATGTATATTGTATTTTCAAGAATCTTCTCCCTAGAGATTTAATTGAAAATTGGCCCAATCAATTTTAGTTTATCATCATAAATTGTGACAAGATCATATACACTATATATGCTCGATATAAAAACGACAATGCTGTTAGCTTATTATAAATACGGATTCAATTAAAAAGTCTCAGTGCTATACTTACAATGTTAAACATCCAACTAGCAAAATTGATTCTACTTTTATTAAACTCTTTATTAATAATATTAATAACATTTATTATATAGGTTTACTGACTATTTCTCATGCTTTAACATAATTTGCAGCATTATCTTAACTAATGCAGTTATTTTTTTAGGACTAATTTTCTCAATTATTCCAATAATTTTATTTGCTAAAAATTCTCCTATATAGTAATCATTTAAGTAATCTTTAAGGTAACAAAGATATTATTCTTGATCAAATATTAAAATTATATAATTATAAATAGAAATATCACTTAAATTAGTCCACCCATTAAGCACTTTAAGAATTGAAAGAAAATATTCAATTAATAATTAAATCTTATAATATATTTAAATGAACTAATATATATAAACTTACTAAGTGTTAAATTTTTAGAATCTTGAATAATTTTATCAACCTTTTATTAACTTTTGTTATTTCTTGGTTTAAAAGTTTCCTATTAAGCAATTCACATGAAGGTAAAACATATCCTGATCTCATTTCATAAAGAAATTCAATAAAAAAAGAATTCTCAATAACTGAAAATGAAATACCACATGTAAATATAAGTATAATAATATGAATAATAGAAGCTGTTTTTTGAAGAGATACATCAGCTAAATCAAACCAATCAGTTAAATCTCTTTAATCTTCTTGAATTTTTTTTTGTTAATTTTGATATACAGTTCCTGTCAAAAGTAATAGCAGACAGTTTTTTAACCTTATACATGTAATTTTATATCAAATATAGGTAAATTTTTTTTAAATAAAGATAAAAACAATATTTATAAAGTTTATTAGATAATTAATATGTAGTGTATCTTCCATTTGCATCAATACTTGCTTGAATTCGATTAGCATGCTATTAATACAGTTAAGTAATATTAAGTTATCAAGATTATCCCATTTCTTCATTAAAAAAAAATTTTATTTGAAAATTTTTTTGTGCAACTAATATTTTTAATATTTTTTCTCAATTTTTTTTTTAAATAACTGCCCAAATATTATATATTCCTATTCTAAAAGAACTTTATGACTTCATGACTTATTTTAATAGATGTTAATGATATTGTGATTTTGGTGAGTAATAAAAAAGTTCAAATGGGTTTAATTTATTTTTTTTATTGTTTATTTTATATAAACATATCATTATCCAATTTGGTCTAATAAACAATGAGCCAAATTGTGATAACAGAGTTGCTGTAGTTTACACAAGAAGTAATGTTTCCAATCACCATTACTTTTGATGGGGACTGTAGATATAATATTATCTACATCTCTAAAATTTCGTGAAGAAACTACATCTAAATAAAATGCATGATCTAATTTTAGATATTTATTATAATTGTTAGCTAAATAGCCTTCAAATTTATTTGGATGACTGTGAAACCAAAACTTTTCACAATATTTATACTTGATCAAAAAATGGTCAGCAAACTTGAGGGGGTCTTTTTCTAAAAAGTTTCTATACTTTACTTTGAAGACAATCACTAGGCTTTCTTTTTTTTTGTTAAAAATCCATATTTAGTTTTAAAACTTAATATAAAATTTCAAAAATTAAATATAAAACGTGATATTAAACACAATATTATTAGTATATATTTGAAAAATTTAAGAAAAAAAATTATATTATATTCTTAAATAAAGAAATTATAATTTATTAATTATAATATTATAAATTCAGAGTGAAGTTTTTATTCTATTTTTTTTAAACCTTTTTATGTAATTAGTCAATCAAATCTTCATTAAACATATTACAAAAAAATTGTTAATTATTATTGAATGATAACAACTTCTGTATATTATAATTTTAAACTTTAAATTAGATCTTTTATTAAACATATTACAAAAAATGTGGTTAATTATTATTGAATAAAAACAACTTCTATTTATTATAATTTTGAACTTTAAATCAAATCTTCATTAAACCTATTACAAAAAATGTAATTAATTATTATTAGATAATTTTAACTAAATAAATTCCTATTAATCTCTCTCCCATTCTCTCACATTCTTTGCCAACAATTTCTCGCGTATTAGTATTATCTAATTC